GCGTCCCTGCCTCTGCCAGGCGAGCAGACAGGATGGAGAGGCATCCTTGGGAGGCTGCTTTCATCCCCAGTAAGGCTCATCAGGGTTGGGAAACACAGGCATTCCAGCCTAGGCAACCATATCCCTGTAGGATGCCCCAGCTGGGCAGCCCCTCCACCCCCTGGAGCCCATCTCCGGAGCATCAGGCCCTGTGCATCTCTTTACCTGCAGACACGAAGAAGATGCCGGCACTAAGGATGATGTTGTGTCGGGTTTTGTAGAACTCGCTGGCTGCAATGCAGAGTCCACCCATGAAAAGCAGAATCACACTCAGGATCGGGAAAATACTAGAGGCTCTAACAGCCCCTGCGGAGGAGAGAGGGAGAGGGGCAGAAAGAACAGTGCAGGTGTAAAAGAGAGGAAAAAGGGGCACACGAACGGCACCGGGGCGAGGGGTCAGGGGGGACGTACGCACATTTCGTGGGTGGGGGCGAAGGGAAGAGACGGAGGACGATGTACCGGGGAGGGGGGAGTAATTCAAAGAGGGATAAAGGTGTCGGGGGACGGAGGGAGGGAGAGAGAAGCAAAGTGTGTCAGAAAAAGAGAGCGGTCTAAAGCAACTCTTCCGCACCCTGGCCGCTGCCGCAAAGCCGGTGGCCCAGCATGGGGAGGTGGAGGAGGCTGCAGGGCCGGTGGCTGAGCTGGGAGCCTGCCCGTACTGCCTGTCCCCCCTCACGCTGTCTTTTCCTCTGCTTTCGGGGGGACTATGGGCTGGAGGGGGAGCCCCGGCACCATCTGGCTTCTCCTCCTGCGGGGCATTGCCACTCGAGCCCGCTCTTCAAAGAGCTGCAACCCAAATGCTTCCCGCGGAGATGCTCAATCTCGAATCCTCCCGAAAGAGCATGAAAACATCTCAAGGAGAGATTTTTTTTTATTATTTCTTTTTTTTAGGGCTGGGAAAGAGCTCCTGGTGCCGTGCTCTGCTCTGCAGCTGCAGTGAGGACTGAGAAGCGAAAGTCCCAGCCCTGAATGTGGATTAAACAGCTAGTGATTAAACAGCTGGGCTCCTTCCAGAGGGCAGTGATGGGTTTGGATGTGCCAGCTCCCACACACGCACGCTCTCGATCGGTCAATATGGGAAGAGCTCAGCCAACAGAGGGCAATGGCATAGATGCACGTATATGCTCATACGTGCATGCACAACGTACCCCAAAGTTTCTGGGGAGACTCTCTCATATTCGTGCAACAAAAGGCCAGGCCCATGTGTAGGCACACCGGCACACACATGCACCCACTGCTCGTGGGCTGTTCAGTGGGTACCAATGGTCTACCTGACTTCATGTTGCCAATATTCATATTTTTTAACTAGGAAGGCCTTCCCTCCTCCCTTCCCAAGGGAAAAGAAACTGTTAAAGTGTGAAGTGAAGCCTTGCTTGATAAAGAAAGGTATCAGACGGACTGGTGCAGTTCTGCTTGTGGAGCAAAGATCTGGAAGGGAGGATAAAAGCTAATCCCTCCTTGCCTGCAAGGATGAACCCTACTGAAGCAAAAGCAGGGCTTTTTCCTAAGTGGGCAGAGACCGTGCTTCAAAGACCCTGTTGGCATCAGGATCCTACCAGGCACAAGCAATCGGCTCTTTGAGGGAGGCCCTAGCCCACTGCCTGTACATGGGGGATGCAAAAGACAGGGAGAAACCTCTCTTGCTTGCTTTCCAGTCCTGCCTGGCTGTGTTTCAGGGAACAGGGTGGTGATAATAACCATCTTAATAGCTTCTGGAAAGGAAGGTGGGATTTGCCAATGTGAAGCTTAGATGGCGGTAAGCAAACATCAAGCAGACATCTGCCATTCAGATGATTTCTAGAGGGATGTTGGGTCAGTCCCAAAGCCTGGCCCCGACCACATCAGTTTTATCTGGGTCTTAATTCTGAAAGTCACGTCGGTTGGGAGAACACAAAGTCACCGGCTGACGTGGGGAGCTGCGGGCATTATGTGATGGGGGAGGACGGCAGCCTCACTCAGCCCCTGCTTTCTGCCCCGCAAGAGAGGGTCAGAATCTCATCCAATCTTCCTGGGTCCAGAGCCTTTGATCTGAAGAGAAGGGGACTCATGATGGTGTTCGGATGCTCACTCGTGTCATCTGTCAACTCTCTAACTCGAGTGTCTTCTAGCAAAGAAACGCGGGGGTGATTCTGCTTCCTCTCTGACAACATGCTTTTGATTTCAAAAAGCCTAAGACACCTTACGTGGATGGCTGGCAGAAATAAAATCTAAACCCTTCCAGCCGGGCCATGGACACTGTCCCACAACCGTCCTGGTCCCCTGAAAGAGGGAATCACCTAGTCTGATACTAATAAACAACTTCCTAGCTGTCCTTGCCGGTACTGCCAGGCATCGCCCATGCATCGCCCAGGGACTCTGGATTGGCAAAAATCCCGGGAAGAAGCTGTTCAGTGGGGTCCCTCTCCAGTCAGGTCTAAGCCAGCAGAAATCCCACTTCCCTCAGGAATGACCCGAGTAGTCCTTTATTGACTTGCCAAATCCTTCTTTGAACCTGGTTCTTTCTTAAAAAGGGCTCTACCCTAAGGACACTGTCAGGTCTTGATGTTGGGCCAATTTTTGTCTTCAGATCTTGTTCCTTCTGAGGGAACAGACCCCTCCTTTTTGAGATGTTCGCCCCCTTCCCCCCAACTCTTTCTTCTGAAGCGCAGCTGATGCTGCAAGCAGCTTCCTCGCTCCCGAGCAGCTCTGCAAGAGCTGGTTTGTTCTCAGAGGCAGCCTGCGCAGTCGCTGTGCCGAACCGGATCAAACCCCAGGCTTCAGCTCTGCCCTTCAGGGGCCAGGCAGTGATTAAGAGATCGATGCTGCAGAAAGGCATCTGAAAGAAGCCATCTCCCTGGGTTATTTACAATTTACAGTGGATGAAGAACTGTTTGAGAAACCAAGAGGAGGCAGCATAAGGTCCGCCTCTTTTTCACATACAAATGAGCCTCACAGAGCCGAAATTATCTCTCTCATCCCTGCCGCAGGGCTGGGTCTCCACATCTGGCTTGGAGCATGCCCCGATGACAAGGAGCTATTCTGAAAGACTGCCAGCCTTTGGAGACCTCTGATGCTTAACTTTGGGAGGTCAAAAGCTCTTCTCTCAGATTTCTGAAGGGAGAAGATCTTTTCTGGTGATGTGAAAAGGCGTTGGGCTTGTAGAGGGAGGGCAGGATAGCAAGGTGGGGACCTAAGAAGAGGAGTGATTCCTGTTCAGCTGTGCTAAAGGAAGAGCAAGCTCCTGCTTCTGGGGCATGTGGAAATGCTGACTTGTGCTCAGGGATGGCAATGCACAAGGTGGGTCCGTCTTGCTGGCCAGGCCACCTTCCCTGTCCCCATGTGCAAAGCGCTGTGAGCTTCGCCCGCAGATCCCAGGCTGGACTTGGAGCTTGGGTTTGGTTTCCTTATGGAGATGCCATGTGCCTGGGGTACAGCACCTCTCCCAGGGGCTCTGGGCGAGGTCCTTTCTTCAAAGGGCTCTGGTTGTCCTTATTCCTGCTCACCATTCCCATCACTGAAATCACTAAAACCAGCAAAGAGCAGATCTGCAGCCTTTGTAGGCAAGTGATGTTTGGGGAAAGGTGAAGACAGAATTAGGTTCTCCTCGGACACAATCCAGTTATTTTCTTAAACCTGATGTAACTGGAGTATCAGATAAGGAAAGATAAACTTACCCTTCTTTAGGAGGACACACACACACACTCACTCTGCCCCAGCTAGCCCAGTCCTGACCTCATGCCCCCTCAGCAGCTCTCCAATGGGTTTGAATTAAGACTCTGGATTTATATCGTAATTAATTGCTGTTAATAAAAAATGCCACTGGCTGTTACCATGAGTTTGAAACTTGCACTGTCTCATGGGCAGGGCCCCAGGGAGGTGAGACTGGAGCCACTTTTGGGGGGTGGTGAGGCTCTGAAGTCACCTTCTCTGGCCCGCTGAACCTCACAGGTCCCAGCGTCTTCACCACCCTACCTCCAGAAAGAAAAAGGCACCCGACGCTAGCACCTACAAACCATTGCAAGAAGAGCCTGTGGACTTACGGAGGAAATATTCTGCTGTATCGGCTTCATAATCTGCATCCTCAGGGAAGTGATCGATTTGCTTACACAGACCTTTAAAATTCCCTAGGGAACAAGAGAAAAAAAGAACAAATGAGAACACCAAAACCTGCCTCGCAGGAACAGCTGCCCTCTGCATCACCCTTTATGCCCTCCCTGCCTTCCTCCCAGGCAGCATTCCCACTCATATATGGATGCCCATTAAATGCCCAGGTACTCTCCTCGTACACTTGCAAACGTATCTCCCTCTTATTTGCACAGGAATGTGGGATTTGCCATCTGGATCCAGCCTGATGCCCACCTAGCCCAGTAACACTTGCTCAATGGGGGAGGGCACCGGAGGCTTTGGCCGGTAGGTACGACTCCCACCGCAGACGGAGAGGAGAGCACTGCCCACCTCTGGGGGAGCTGGGGTGGGAAGAGGAGCCAGAGGCTGGGTCACGGTGCAAAGCACGAGGGTCAGGGTCCCTTCCCTCAGCATCGACAGATGTAACTGTGGGTGTTTGTGTTTCACCTGGCGCAGACTCGGTGGATCCCAGCAGTGCTGTGTACAGTGGGGCGATCAGGTTTGGGTGGAAAAGCATTTGTTCCTCTCAGCTGTGAATTTGCTGCCTATTTGTTTCATGGGCAGGATACATTCCGGTGTTCTGATGCGATACGAGAAGAACAAAAGCTCTTAATCTACTTTCTCTATATGATTGCTTGTTTTTGCATACCTTTATCAGGCCTCCTCTTGTGTCCTCTCACAGACTTAAGGCTACAAGAAGCTTGGTGCAAGTGTGTGTATGCAGCTCAGCAGCAGAAGACCTTTTGCACCGGGGAAGTAAAATCTTCCACCATAAGTGAGGGAAACTGGGCTGGTCACCTTCAGTTTCGTCAGGATGGTTTACATACAGGGCCTTCTGCTAGCTTTAGGCATGGGGCACCCTTTTTCACACACTCCACACCAGTAAAGCCATCCCAGCAGGAGGCCAGCAACATCTTCCCAGTCTTTTGTCACCTGGGATGTCTACCAGGCTCTTATTTTCATTATTCATGTCTCTCTCCTCTTGGAATCAGGAATACCACTCCAGAGAGGTAATCCTCAAGCCACACCATCATCATGACTGCTGGTTGACTAGTATCTCAAACAATGAGGTTGTTCATGCTTGTACAGGGGTGACCATATGGAAGGCAATTTCATTATACCTCCTGGGGTTCCCCCAACCTTTTTCTCCCACCTCCCCTTACGTTCCCCTCTGGACTCTTGCACTGCCTGGCCATTAACATAGAACTGATGGACATAATCTATCCAGAAAGGAGGAATGCAGTGTCTGCATGAGGTGGATGGGTAGGCATGGTGATCCCATGGGCTCCCTTACCAGAGCTCAGCCACCAAAGTGTCTCAGGCTGACCGGTCCCTTGGGAGAAGAGTTTGGAGGCTGAGTTTGGAGAGTGACAAATGCTGTGGCAACCTGGGAAAGCCATCTGCCACCCTGGCCCTGAACCCAGCCGCTGGACCAGCTGGGTGTGCAGGGAGAGGGGACAATGAAGCCATCACACTTGTGGTCGTTGCCTCTGGGAAGGGTTGCTTCTGAGGAAGCTGTTCCAGGCCAGCCCTACCCAGGCTGAGACCTGCAGGGATCATGTCAGGTCCCTGAGTCTGTCTTGGAAGGTTTATTCCAGATGAATTCCAATGATCTTTCAGGTATTTGGGAACAGCTTGAAGAAGGACCAAGTCCAAAGGATCCCTCCTGAGTTTCTTCTCAAGGCCAAGCCTTGCTGGAGCAAGCTTTGGGAGGCAGTGCTGAGCAAATAGGTGTAGAAGGCAGGTAGGTGGATTCCTCTAGGTCAGCTCCCAACTTTGGCTCCTTCTGCATGTAGTCAGCTTGGGTCTGATGCTTCTGAGATACCCGTCACCTTTAACTGCTAGTTCAAAGAGCTTCCCTGGAGAGGCTAGAGACAGCAGAGAGGAGTGTGTGCGCATGTAAGAGGTAAGTAATAGGAAAAGAAAGTAGGAACAAAGCCTCTCCGTGTATATCTGAAGTGTTATTCCCATATTGAAACTGTGGGTTATGAAAGGAGGTGATTAATCACCCATCCCCAGTCCAGTTACCTCCTTCAAAAAGTGTCTACTTCTCAGCCATGGCTCTTCTGGAAGGAAAGCTTCATAGCCAAGCAAATTCCCTTGCCACACTCCCACCCTGCTACTTGCCCATGAAATACCTGTGAGAAAGGCAGATACAGCCTGAAGGGGGTCCTTTCCCTTGCTTGCGTCTGACTGCCTGGGGCCATCTGCCTGCGACAGATGAGCGGCTCGTCACCCTGGTCCTTGGCTGCGGTCACTGCTGTACAGCGCACGTGAACACTGCTGCTCTCCGAGGCACTGGGGAAATCTCCAGCTTCAGATTTCGACTCCTTGCCCAGCAGATCATGAATGCTGAGAGCCTTCTGCCCGTACATGCCCGGGGAGAAGGCAGAGCCTGCGTGCACCTCCCAGACAAGGCTCCCAGTGCAGGGCCAGAGCCCTCCAGTTGGAATCAGCCAGGGAGGGAAGAAGCACTGCATCTGGAAACCCCTTCACTCTGTGCCATGCTTTCCCTGCTTCCTCTCTTGTCCCTCTCCCCCACTCCGTTTCTTGCTGTATTTGAAGAATCAAGCTGCTTGGGAAAGATGCTGCATCTTGCGCAAAGGTGTCTTTTACATGGACTTGTGTGGGGTAGCTCGTTAGAGCTTCAGAAGCTTAGACAGGCTCAGGGGACATGCAGGCTCTTTGAAAATCTGCTCCTGGTGCTGAACGTCTGAAAGACCTTGCTGATCTGGCTCAGCAGAGTGCTTGGCCATTGGGGTATCCAACCTTGGCTTGCTTAAAATATTGTGGCATTGAGAAGCTGCCCTTCACCACTGCGCCAGGCTGATCCCCCTCGCTGGCTCAACCCTCCTGGGGTTCGTGAGGGCAAGGTGGGCAGCGTTGGTCCCACTTTAGCCCCTGCTTTGTCTGTGCTCAGCACACAGCGCCGTGACTCTGGATGCTGACTATTTGCCTGTGCTACCACACCCTCTCCTCCAATGCCTCCTAGCTCCTCTGGGCGATGGATGGGGAAAGGATGCAGAATTTAGGTCATTAATGCACTAACTGGGAATATAAGAGAACAAGATTCAGTTTTTGCTCTGCCACAGGCATGCTGTTAAAACCACTTCTTCTCTCTGCTTTAGAGTCCTGCCATGTAAAATGGGGGTGACAGCACTCCTCTGCCTTGTGCTGTAGGGAGACGTGTCAGAAAGGGCACGGTGTGGGTTTGCTGGTGCTGGCGGCTGTGCAAGCGCACGGTGAGCAATGGATGGCGGCGGTTCAGAAACCCGCTCGATGCAGGGAAGGCCTCGATGTCACTTCTTGTGCCAAGGTCACTTGGCAATTCTCTGACGGACATCTGCGACCTGCTGAGACGGTGCAGCGGCCTCCCTGGCACCTGTGCTGGTGGAAGCACCGCGGCCGCACGCCGGGAGGGAGATGAAGCAGCTCAGCAGCGCTGCCGAGGTCTGACACAACGGCCTTTTTCTCTGCTGCACGTGGGGTTTGTGGAGCCAGGGAGGGAAGAGCCAGGTGCCACCCTATAGTTAATATTCCTGAATGTCCGAGCAAGAGTGAATCGTTATTTGGGAGAGCATGTAGGGGCTCTGAGAGCCTCTCAAGGGAGTAGGAGCAATGTCTCCTCTGTACTTGTGTCCCTTTGCCCTTCCCATTCTTCCCGACTTGAGCTATTTCATGCTGCGAACCCTGAAACAGGCAAGTGTTGAGCTCTCTGGCTTCTCCTGCATGCTTCTCCGAGTAACTTAAGCCATGTGCTTCCACCTCCTCCTTGAAGCTCTCCCAGCACAGTTTGGGCTCTCCCCTCATCCTCTTTCTTGTGCTCACCCACCAGATCTTCCTCCTCTTTCTCAGTCTCTCTCATTCATCGCAGCCACCTCCCTCTCTCTGGCGTATCAGCGTGGGCATCCTTCGAGCAGCACGCTTTGGGATGTGTAAGCTGCAAAGGAGGCGGAGAGGAGCTCTGACTTGTCTCAGGACAGAAAGTCTGGGGACACCTAGGTCCATGGAAAATCACAGAGCAACCCCCAGGTCCCCTGGGTATTACTGGGAGTCCATAGATGAGATCCCCACTGTTTGCTTGTCACCTACCCAAGCTTTGGAAAATGCAGTCTGGAGGAGCTAGGACTGGTGCAACAGGCACCCCTCCGGTGCCTGGACCGGGACAGAAGTTGCCCAGCAGGGGCATTAAGAACAGAGACCACCTGCCATACTGCCAAGAGGGACTGAATGTCTAAGATGCATAAAAATCAACATTAACTGTGCATTCAAGCCCTCAGAGACCTCCTCCAATGTGGCCGGGTCATCATTTGGGTACATGTTGTCTATCCAGGACAGTTGGCAGCCATCAGCTCTGCTGCAGTGAGAGTCAGACCGAGTTACCCCCGATGAGAACCTGGCTTGGTATTGTTGGTGATACGGTTTATTTTTGTGCCGCTTTGTGCAGCTCTGTCTCTTTCAGAAGTCTTGCTTGCCTGCAGAGTGCCATCCATTGCAAAATAGTAAGTTCCAAAGAATGAAAAGCTACTCCCTTCCTGCGGGGTAAGAACACTTTTAAATGGTCAGGACTGTACATCTGAAAACTGGGAGCCAGAGGCAGAGGAAAAGACGTCCAAAAGAAGAGAAGCAGACAAAGAGGGACGAGAACAGAAAGACCCGTTTTCCCAGAATGATTTGTGATATTTCCATTTATGGAAAAAAGCAATCCACTGAAAGCTTTCCTTCAGTCTCGCTCTCTAATTTAGCAGAGGTTTTGGCATAATGGTTTCTAGAGAAATAAATAAAGGGGACTGGATATAGCTGTTGTCTCTAAAAGCTCAGAAAAATGGCTTGGTGTTGGCCAAGGATTCAGTACCTCTTTCTGCCACACACTGCCTGTATCATTTTAGGCAAGTCACTTAACCCCGCTCTTCTTTCTCTCAAAATGGGAATAACGGTATTTCCCTGCTTCAGGGAAATAGCCTGAGGATATTTATGTTAAAAATATGAAAGTGATCAGATACTGGATCGTTTGGGCCTGATAATTCTCCCCACCTTCCAGTTCAAACATAACGTGCTCATCTTTGATGCAACCTTCTCCCAGATAAACGCGAAGGCTGGGCACAGGTGGAAGCTCTCTCAGATTCACACTTGTGATTCCTGTCTTAGAAGTAATCTTCATTGCAGTTTAAACTAATATTTGCTATCTACCCATGAAAGAAATGCGAGAAATGGTGCACGAAGTTCTGGTAGTCAGACACAAACGCGAACATCTCTTTCTGCTCCAGGACCCTGTTTCTGATCAGAGTCCATTTGGTACCAGGTGGTGAAGTGGGGCTCAGAGCCAGGCTCTGGCCTGGGAAGACAAATTCCACAGCTACGTGGCAAACTGTTGGCATGCCTTTCTTACACGTATTGGCAAAGGGCTTCCAAACCAGGAGAGGAGATCTGCCGTCTCTGTCAAAAAATGACACTGGCGACACTGAGTTGTTAATGCCCAACCTGACATGACTTCAGGAGGCAGGAGTGAAATTTCATGGAGTGCCAAGGGAAGCGCAGGAAAAGCCCTTCGACGGCATTTTGATTGCTCTCCACCCTTCCAAGAATGAAGCGCTCAAAAGCACTCATCGTTTTGGGGGATTTGGAGCTGGTGAAGAACAGAGTGGCAGGGAGTACAGACAGTGCTCAGGGGCATCTGCTTTTACCCACCTGTGTTGATGTGTCCAAAAGAGAGGCTGGCTTTTCAGAAGTGCTCATTATCCCTCTCGGGGAGTCTCTCCATAGATAGGACCTTACAAAAATTAGGGCACCTTTTCGTGTGCCTCAGTACGCATTTAAAGGCCTTGGTTACAGGGTGTAGGGTTATACCAGCAAAGGTGGGCACTGTGTCACAGGGAATGGTCATTCTGGGGCCTGAGCAGATGCTGCTCTAGCAGCTCCAACCCTGCACAGAGGCAGGGGATGCTGTGCTAGTGGCAATAACTTTTGACTCAGGCGGGTAATTTTAAGACCAAAGAGTCCACAGCTCTCCTTAGGGACGGAGGAACTTTCTACTACGAGGTGAAGCTCAGTGGGGCAGCAAATGGCATTTGTGGAGGGGAGCCTAGGACAATAGCAGAGATCCCATGGGAACAAAGGACCATCAGAAATCTCGCCGCCTTCCCGTCCAAGTGCAATGCGCCTGCTTTGATGTGGTCTTCTCCAACATAAACGTGCAGAAGTGTGTATGTTAAAAAACCCAAACAAATCCCTAGCAACATAACCAGTATGTTACATACATAATTCTCTCCCTGGGGAGAGGATAAAAGAGCAAACCACATGTGACTGATATCAAGCCCCATCACTTAATGTGCCACTGGAAATCATTCAGACATTGTGGTGAAGAAGCCTGTAAAAGAACTGATGCAAATAGAAATCGATCTTATAGTTATGAAAGAATATCCCTCCTCCCTGCAAGGTAGAACCATTATACCAGCTGTCCTCACCTTATTATTAACAATCATGTTTATTACAGCTGTTGCCAAGGATCAGTGATAAAGGGAGATTACTGCAGTAAAAACGGTACAAACACTGCCTTTCAGACCATTGCCGCCTCAACGAGCATGAAGGAAGGGGTATATCACAGCACACTAGCAAGGACCGAAGCTACAGCAGTAAAATGGCCCGGTAATACTAATTCTGGGGAGATGAGTTTAGTCAGGAGGTGGTTAACAAATAGAAAAAGAAGTGCAGACATAGATGAGCAGGGGAGAAAAAAGTGAGAGAAGCCAATATGGGGTAGCACTGAGAGGAGATGATGAGGTGGAAGGAGAGCGGGGAGAGAAGTCCCATCCAAGCCACTACCAGGCTCCTATTCTGCCTTTTTCAGCTCTTACTCCCTGCTTTTGCTCTCTGCAGCCCTCCCTGACAGTCACCCAGCGAAGGAGAGGGGGGCTAATGACAGAAGAAGATACCACATGTGCTGCTGAAGGTACCTTCGGTCCCCCCGTAGAGCCTGGGCAGAGTGGGAGAGCGGCAGAGCCCCATCACGTCCCGTCGTTACCGGCACGGTCGCCCGGCAGGGCTCCGCCTGCCTGGTGCCGCGGCTGCGGCGGCTGCGTTACGGCCGGACCCCGTGCCTGCTCTCAGCCTTGCGTCGCTTTTGGATTTTTCCTTGGAGACGGCGGCCTCCTCACCTTCCCACCCCGGTCCGTAACACTGCTGTGTGCTGCTAAGTAGATGGTAGACTCTGCCTTGGAGCTGGCTATAGCTATTCCTTGTATGGGGGCGGAGATGCGGTGGTAGCAAAACCTATTATTAAGATTATATGAAGATTTCCATTTATAAACACCTTCTTTTTACAGGGTTGTAACTTTCAAAAATATCCTCACTGTGGCTTGAAATTTCCCATGCTTTG